ATCTGCAAGTAGGGATAGTTTTATTTCTTCTTTTCCAGTTTGGATGCCTTTTATTTCTTTTTCTTGCTTAGTTGTTCTGGCCAGAAATTCCAGTACAATGTTGAGTAGCAATGGTAAAAGGCATCTTTGTCTTGTTCCTGACCTTAGTGGTTGTTCCTGACCTTCACTGTTGAATTTTATGTTAGCTGTGGGTTTTTCTTAAATGTTCTTTATCATGCTGAGGATGCTGAGGAAGTTCCTTTCTATATCTAGTTTTCTGAGTTTCTACTTTTCATGAAAGGGTGATGAATTCTGTCAAGTACCTTTCCTGTATCAATTGAGATAACGTGTTTTTTTCTTTCATTTTATTAATGTGGTATATTACATTGATTTATTTTTCTTTGTTTCTTTTTTTGAGATGGGGTCTTGCTCTGTCTCCCAGGCTGGAGTGCAGTGGCCGGCTCACTGCAGCCCCTGCCTTCTGGGTTCAAGCAATTCTTCTGCCTCAGCCTCCCGAGTAGCTGGGATTACAGGCGTGACCACGCCCAGCTAATTTTTGTATTTTTAGTAGAGATGGGGCTTCACTGTGTTGGCCAGGCTGGTCTCGAACTCCTGGCCTCAGGTGATCCATCCACCTCAGCCTCCCAAAGTTCTGGGATTACAGGCGTGAGCCACCAGGCCCGGCCTACATTGATTTATTTTTCTTATGTTGAACACCCTTACATTCCTTCAATAAATCTAACTTGGTCATAGTATTCTCCTTTTACTATGCTGTTGGATTCAGTTAGCTCGTATTTTGTTGAGGATTTTTGCATCGATATTCATAAGGGATGTTGATCTGTAGTTTTCTTGTGGTCTTTTTGTCTGGCTGTGCCATCAGAATGATGCTGGTCTCATGTAATCAATTAGAAACTGTTCCCTTTTCTATTTTTTCGAACGGTCTGAAAGGATTGATGTTACCTTCATTTTGGTGTTACCTTCATTTAGTGATCTGAGAAAAAGAAAGGACTGGTGTTAATTATTTAAATGTTTGCTAGCATTCACCCTGAAGCCTTCTGATCCTGGACTTCTGTCTGTTGAGAGGTTTTTTGTTGTTGTTGTTGTTGTTTATTTGTTTTTTGAGATGGAGTCTTGCTCTGTCTCCCGAGGTGGAGTGCAGTGGCACGATCTTGGCTCACTGCAACCTCTGCCTCCCGGGTTCAAGCGATTCTCCTGCCTCAGCCTCCCAAGTAACTGAGATTACAGGTGTGCGCCACCACGTCCAGCAATTTTTTTTTAATTTTTAGTAGAAAAGGGGTTTCCATGTTGGCCAGGCTGGTCTCAAACTTCTGAACTCAGGGGATTCACCTGCCTCAGCTTCCCAAAATGCTGGGATTACAGGCGTGAGCCACCGCGTGCGGCCTTTTCTTTGAGACAGAGTCTCTCTCTCCCTGGCTGGAGTGCAGTGGCATAATCTAGGCTCACTGCAATCTCCGCCTCCCACGTTCAAGCGATTCTCCCACCTCAGCCTCCTGAGTAGCTGGGATTACAGGCGCGCGCCACCATGCTTGGCTAATTATTTTTGCATTTTAGTAGAGATGAGGTTTCACCATGTTGGCCAGGCTAGTCTCCAACTCTTGAACTCAGGCGATCCGCCCGCCTGGGCCTTCCAAAGTGCTGGGATTACAGGTGAGAGCCACCGCGCCTGGCCATGAATGCCATTTTTTGATAATGAATAATAAAAGTTATGCAGATCTTCTATATTCTTCTATCTAAATGTTGACACACTTTTATATCTAGAAACTTCGGATATAAAGCTCAGCCCGAGAGAACCCATCAAATGTTGGAGCTGCAAGGGGCTAGAAAGCATCACCAGACCTGGATTCGCGGGCGATGTTGGCTCAAGGTAGCACAGGACGTTGGCTCAGAGCTGGAAATTGAGGCCAGCTCTCCCGGCAGACCCACCCCACAGGACGACCAAGCAGGGCTTCACAGAGGAGTTGAGGTTTAGGTTTATATCTGTTGTTAAAAACCCGGTGAGCAAAAGACTGTGGAAAAAACACACGGAAAAGACGGGCGAAGGTGTGAGCTGGCTAGTGACAGAGATGGGGGAACCCGTGGGGTCACTCCTTGACCCCACGCAGGACACTTAGACATCCACAGTGCCGGGGGAGAGGCCCCAGACGGGGCAGAAGACCCTTCCCCGGCCCTGGGGAACCCAAGATTTCCGAGAGTAAACAGACCTGTGCAAAAACCCACAAGGGAGACCAGTGGCCTGTGCAGGGCACTGCAAGGCCGCCCTGACCCCGACCTCACATGGGTCTCGGAGGCTTCAGGGACCCACCGGGCCGCGCGCCCCCCACCATCCCAGGTCTACCGCAGGGGAATCCTCCAGGCTTGCGAGCGCTTCCTAGGGCAGGAAAGCTTGTGCTGCAGCCC